ATTTAAATTCTGTATAGAATATTTGAATGAATTTAAATATGTAATTCAAGACAATATATATTTGCAAAAATATATATAATATAATATAATATAATATTTTTCCTTGTTTTCTGGATTGTTCTGCCAGAACAGGAGTGTATGAGGGTTTATGCTAACCTAATTACTCTAAAAAGAACTTTTAATTTACACTTAACAACCAATTTGGACTTTACCCACCTCTTTACAAGCAGATTAAAGTGAAGCCATTGCAGTGACTAATACTCTTCACACCAGCATACTTAAAGGGATAGTTCACCTTCAGTTGCTGATCCCCATTGACTTCCATAGTAAGGAGAAAAAAATCACTATGCAAGTCAATGGGGACCAGAAACTGAACGTGAACTATCCCTTTAACTAGTTTAACCAGCATGACAGCACGTTGCTGGTTGAATAGTGTCAATTTTTGATATGCTGAATCACCACCTAGACCAGCATAAACCAGCCTGGACTAGCATTGAGATGATTTTTTGTGGATGTTTATGACATTGGGCACAGTGTCACAGTGTTTAAAAAGGCACCACATGGTACATGGGTTTAGTAAAGAGCAGTGAAGTGTAAAACACTCTGATATCTCGACTTATTGTTTTAATGAGGCTTAGCATTCCTAAAACATTTTAATCCGATTCAAGGTAGACCACATGAGAACTGGACCACTGTAAAATTCAGCTGCGCCTTTGAACTTTAATCCACAGATTCAGAAAAGCTCTGTTCATTCAGAGGTGTTTCTTTCTGAGTGGGATTTTCTGTAAAGTGTTTCCTATAGGTCAGAAGTAAGTGTGAAAATCACCAATCCTGACTGTATTTGCTTTCCTAATGCACATTTCAGATCTTATTGTGAAAATTAATCTGTCTTTTTAACCTTTAATCAAAATATATTATATTGTTCTTACTCTGTGACTTTTCAGCTGCCATCACTTTAAATGCATGAGTTATTGCATGGTAACAAACAGCCAATCACACTACAAAATACTTAAATTATTCATGCATAGCCCATAACAAAGACATCTCAAACAATGTCATCTTTGCATTAAAAATTACATAACTGAGCGAATGACACTTAATGACAGTTGTCATAAACATGCATAAAAACCTTCATATTCATGACATGTGTCATGTCATGATTATGTAGGTGTCATGTTATGATTATGAAGGTGTCATGTCAGTCTTATGCACACCCCTTCAAGTAAAGTGTAACCTATTGTTCTTACTCTGTGACTTTTCAGCTGCCATCACTTTAAATGCATGAGTTATTGCATGGTAACAAACAGCCAATCACACTACAAAATACTTAAATTATTAATGTTTTTTTTTGTCTATTTGTGCAGTTAAAATGTCTAAAAATCAATAAAACAAGATGAAGTTACTTGAGAAGCAACATTGCATAAGATATTAAAACTTTTTAGCAAATGTGTCTTTACTAATATAAGTGTATTGTGTCTTATTGCACTGGCAAATTTGGTCACTTTTTGCTTCATATCTTATATTTAATAAATAATTTATATATTTGATTATAATATTTAAAGGTATTTCATATTAATATTTAGATATGTGTTACTTAAAAACATTAAACAGTCATTAAAAACTTAATAAGTATTAAATACAATAACAAGTGCAAATAATTTTTTGCAATATTCAATATTAAATTTATGTAATATAATGTATATTATTATATATATATTACATAAAATAATTGTACTATTTAATATAAAATGTCATATATTTGTATAAATATTGTATTTATGCTTAGAAACAAAAATTACAACATTAAAATTTGAATTAAATTTAAATTATATGTAAAATATCTAATATATCTAGTATGTAATACCCACTTTTCATGATGCAGCCAATTTGCAATGAATTAAATAAAGTACTTCCCTATATTTTTTTCTAATGAATATGCTGTTGTATTTGGAAATATGTCATGTTATGAAATTAAAATGGGTTGTGACTGGGGACTCCGAACCTACAATCTTTTGGCTGGCAAACGTTTCTTAGAAAAATGCCACGTCCATACTTTTGCAACTAATGTTATCAGGCCTGGCGTGTCATTCACAGCCTCTAAACATCTCAAAACAGTATTACCTAAATACTCTATGATTGCACAAACACCCACATCTTCCTTACAAAGCAGAAAAGTGTCGTAACCGTAAAATAATATACTGCAGCATCCACAGATGGTATGAATATAATTCCCTTTTGCGTCCTAGCTGTTTTTGTGTGTTTTACAGCTTTGACTTTTTACATCCTGTCCAGGTGAAACTGCACTCTATTATTTATGGCTCGTATAAAAATGTGCCTGTTCCCACGTGCTGTTGAAAGTTTTATTGTGTTAATTATACATGGGCCCAGAGTCTGGAGGCCTGCTTAGAAAAGTGAAGGTAGTTATGTCAAAAGGGAGGTTCAACACGTTTGCAAAGGCTTTAGCTCACGCCCAGAGCATTTGCATCTTTTTTGGCTGTCTTACAGTTTGTTTGTGTGGATTTTGCATGACGGGACATGTCCTGAGTGACAAACAGCTCTCATTGGTGGTAATAATGGCTGGTTAATGTGTACACAATGTCTCTATGTGAACTATTAAATCTGTACTTTCAATAGCAGGAATCAATGGTCAATTAAATGTAAAACATAATTGAATAATTTGAATAATATATTTTAATAATAATACACATATAATTTAATTTTAATGGCATTTTTTAACTATATTGATGTGAACTGCATAATTTTTATGTATCAAATGTATGCTAAAACTCTCTCTCTCTCTCTCTCTCTCTCTCTCTCTCTCTCTCTATATATATATATATATATATATATATATATATATATATAGATATAGATAGATAGATATATAGATATATATATTACAAAAGGTATTTTACCAGGCAAGAAAATACATTTTTAATCTAAAAATATATTTTGAGTAAAGGCAAAAATGTAGTTTTAAAATATGTAAACATATTTTAAAATCTATATTAGAAATGTATTTGGGGTTATTATTTATTTTGGGTTATTTATAAATATTTTTTAAATTTATCTGGGGCAAGAAAATATTTTAAATCTTAAAATACATTTTGAGTAGGTTTGGACAATATAAATATATATATATTTAGACTGAAAAATATATATAAAGAGGTGGAAATGTAAGTAACTAAAATGTATTGAAAATATATTTATGTAAACATTTTTTAAATGTATATGATCAATGTTTTTTGGGGTATTTTTGTATATTTTGAAATGTTTTTAAATATATATCTGGGGAAGGAAAATGCATTTTAAATCTTAAAATACATTTGGAGTAATTGCAATATATTGAGTATGTGCAATATATAACAGTTATATTATTAATACAAGTAATATAATTTATAATAATATGTAATGTTATATAATATAGTTACAATAAATAAGTTATGTATAACTACATAACTTTATTTTGTAAATATATAAAACCTTAAAATCAATATTAACCATTTTTTATCAAGCCATTTTTTTCATTATACATATATATATATATATATATATGTATAAGTCGTGGCCTAATGGTTAGAGAGTCGTGGCCTAATGGTTAGAGAGTCGGACTCATAACCCAAAGGCTGTGGGTTCGAGTCTCGTACCGGCGGGGATTGTAGGTGGGGGGAGTGAATGTACAGCGCTCTCTTCCACCTTCAATACCACAACTGAGGTGCCCTTGAGCAAGGCACCGATCCCCCAACTGCTCCCCGGGCGCCGCAGCATAAATGGCTGCCCACTGCTCCGGGTGTGTGTTCACGGTGTGTGTGTGTTCACTGCTGTGTGTGTGCACTTTGGATGGGATAAATGCAGAGCACTAATTCCAAGTATGGGTCACCATACTTGGCCACATGTCACTTCACTTTTCACTTTATATATATATATATATACAAATTTTCATGTTTTTTTCATGAGAAACTGAGGGTTAGAGGTTTATTCAAATCACTAACCATTAGTATGAGCAAAATAAGTTATGCTTCTCTTAACAAAGAGCACTACGATATAACTGTATTTCATGTGACAGTTCAGATGAAACTGCAAAAGCTGATTATTAATCGTCTGTGAATTACATTCTCAGCACGGGTCACAAAAGTTGAAAGCAGAAGAAGCCAGCGGTGAACCCAGGATTGACCTCTCACATGTGCAGAATGAGGGAACGCTTTGTTTCAGATTGTCTTAAAATAGGAACTAGTTCCTAATTTTTCTCTTGGATTATTCAGAATATAATGGTCAACAGTTTGCTGGTGGGAAATGAATTGTGCTGGCCCTACGAAACCAAGAATCGTCTCACGACTTTGGTTGATTTAATACAGCGCCGATTCGGCTAATCACAACTCATTTTGCTTTGATTACACAACAAAAGGACAGACATAAGGTGTTAAAACATGAAAGCACCCAAATGTTGTGGCACAAAAAAGTAGGGTAGGATGAGAGAGAGAAGAAATGGCAGGTAATGCAATATTCATGCGCACAAAGCAGATTTCCCTTTAGTTCTCATGATTAGAGGAGGGAAATCTTCGCCTGGCCCGTCTTCTTAGAGGATGGATGCATTAATGCCAAGTTCTTCTTTTTTTGGTTTTTTGGAAGATGTGGCTTAATCAAGGAGATGCACTTCTCCTTCCCCTGCTCTTTGATGTTGTGAAAAGATGTCCACGGTTAACTCTGAGTGTGCAACGGCTGAGCATTTCTCTTTCAAGCCTGGGATGATGAAAGTGATGATGCCGTGGTGGTGGCGCTGTATCAGGGGGAGTCCAGCTTCTCTCGAAAAAGAGATGTGACCCTGATTGAAATGAGGAACATATTTGATCTTGAAATGAAGTGCTTCTTTGCTTTGCACTAGTGCACTCATCTTTGATCATCAAACGTAATTGATATTACCACATTGCCTTTAAAGCTTACTGAACGACACGCCAGCATATTTTCCGGAGAAGATTGGTGTCATTGGTGGAAGGATGTTCACTGTGTTGGATATTTCCAGATGAGATCAGCACCACTGTATGAAATAGAGCAAACTGTGACAACAAATGCATCCAAATGCACTGTAAAAATAAAGATTATTGGTGTATGTTTTACAACAAAAACAATACTGTTTCAGTCTTTCTACTTCATAATTTCATTTTTAATGTGTGTAACGAAACGACTCAGACAGGTGGAATAAAGATCAACAATAATTAAGATAATTGCAGCAGGAGCAAACTGGTAGACGCAGGCAAGTGATGCAATATGATAAAGACTTTGTGGACGTGAAGAATGAAGCAGGTGCACACAATTTTTGTTTTTTAATTTAGAAAAATATTTTATATATATGTTTATATATACAGTATATATATATTTCTGAATTAACATAAAATATATTACACTTTATATTTATAATATTCATTATTTTATATTATATTTCTTTCTTTCTATTTAATTCTTTGTAATTTTTTTGTGAAATTGAATGAAATGAAATTTTGTGAAATTTGTGTCAAATTAAATCCCACACCTTTTTTTTCAGCGTGCATATGAAATAATGTATGCCTATTTCTCTTTTTTTTTTAGGTTGCTTGAGGGTATTTGGGAGCCGGTATATTATATTCTGGAGTTCTGCCAGTCATTCGAGAATCACAAAACTGTTCCCCGTGCTCGATTTGATTAACCCCTCTCGTTTTATTTATGTGGTTTCAAATCTATTCAAATTTTCGGTTGGATGCAGAGATGGTGCTGAAGATGTGTTATTTATCCTTGGCCAACAGAGAGGAAATCTGAGAGTGAAATTCCCATGTCGCTGATAACCACAAAGTCAACATGTCAATAATGCATTGCTCATATGATTTAATATATCAGCGTTTGAATTATTCATTCTCTTGGTTTCTCTCTCTCTCCACCTGACAATCTACATCTGACTCTCCCAGTACTTTCATATTCATTTCAATCGGACTGCCGCTGAATGATTTATGGATGCCTGACTTGGCCATGCACTCCATGTAAAAGGCCATCCGTGTTGATGGAAAAAACAAACATGGACACAGTCCGGAGTATTTGAGCTGCTCTCACCCGCGGCCCCTGGAGAGGAGCGCTGGAGCCAGTCAACGCTCTGGATGAGTAGGATATAGAAAACCACACAAGAGTGAAAAATAGAGGTTTAATAGAGTTCAACAGGAGACAAACCTGCAAAGATTGTAGACTGCATGTTCAGATTTGGCTCACAATATAGTTTTAAGCCACCTGTAAGAGACAGAATCAATCCACAGGTAGACCTGGACTGAAACCCCCTTGGTTTAAAAGTAAAGGTTTAAAAGAATCACTGTTCTAAGTTTGAAAGCCACTGAAGTATAAGCAGAGGCGGACAAAGTACACAACTCCATTACTTGAGTGAAAGTACAGATACCGCTGGTCAAATATTACTCCATTACAAGTAAAAGTTGTAAAGACAGATTTTTACTTAAGTAAAAGTACAGAAGTACTTGCTTTTAAAAGTACTTAAGTACCAAAAGTAAATGTCCTTTTTTATGTCAATGCACTGTTTTATTGTTGTACGTAATACTTGCAATACTTCTGAAGCAACTTACAATACATTACACCTGCTGAATACACTGACTAGCTTGTAGTATCTTTGGAATAAAGAGCTTTTCGAATGTTAAAAACCTATCGGGGGAAAAAATTTAACACCCCTACCCACCCCCACAAAAGCAGGATGGTAG